CTATCTATCTATCTATCTATCTATCTATCTATCTATCTATCTATCTATCTATCTATCTATCTATCTATCTATCTTCCTGGTAGTAAAACTCTCATCCTGAAAAGGTTGGTTAATTGGCTACTCCTGGTTTAATATAATGTGCAAAATGAGAACTCAAGACAAGCCAGTATTAAAAACAGTATTGGAAGAACATATGGGAGAAAGAAAAGACATAACACCAGTGCAAAGTGGCTGCAGGACCTGAGAGCAGACCACAGCAATCTTCCAGAACAGGAATCAGTCACGATCACATAGCAGACATCCAACAGCGGGTCGAGAACATGAAAAGCTGGACAGCACCTGGCCTGGACATGATCCACACCTACTGGCTGAAGAAACTAACAGCAGTGCATGAATGCTTAGCAGCACAGATGAACCAGGCTGCTAGCAGCAGGCTCCCACCCAGACTGGCTAACACAAAGGACAGTGCTGATCATGAAAGACCCTCACAAGAGAATAGCAATACATCCAACTACCAGCCAATAACCTGCCTCCCCACAACATGGAAAATCCTGTCAGTCATCATAGCCGCCAAGCTACAGGACTGTGTGGGCCAGTACATGAGCACAGCTCAGAAGGCATTGGGAGCAACACCAGAGGCTCAAAACACCAGTTACTCATAGATAGAGCAGTTGTCCAAGACTCAAGAACTAGACAGACTAATCTGAGCATAACCTGGATTGACCACAGGAAAGCCCACGACTCAATCCCACACCCATGGATCTGTGAATGCCTGGTGCTAAACAAAGTCAACAGGACGCTAAGGACCTTTCTCAATAACTCAATGGGACTGTGGAAGACAACAGTGAAAGTCAACTCAAGACAGCTTGCACCAGTGGCCATCAAGTGCAGCATATACCAAGGTGATGCACTGTTCCCACTGTTGTTCTGCATAGGCTTGAACCCTCTCAGCCAGATAATCACAAGAACTGGATACAGATACAAGTGCAAGAGTGGAACTACCATCAGCCACCTTCTCTACATGGATGACAAGAAGATTTAATGCTAGGAGTGAATGAGACAACTCACTGATCCACCTGACATGAATCTACAGTGAGGACATTGGGATGTCATTTGAACTGGAGAAGTGTGGCTGGATGGTAGTAAAGAGAGGGAAGGTAGTTAAGACTGATGTGGTGGAAGCAGCAGGCCACATAGCAGACATACAGACCAGCTATAAGTACCTTGGTATCCCACAATCACATGGGAACCACGATGAGGAGGCAAGGAAGACAGCAATATTCAAGTACCACCAAAGGATAAGGTAAGTCCTGAAGAGCCAGCTCAATAGGAAGAATAAGATACACCCCATCAACACGTACACCCTGTCAGTCATCAGATACCCTGCCGGTATAGTGAACTGGCCAAAGGAGGACATGGAGGCTGCCAATGTGAAGACTCGGAAGCTTCTCACAGTGTACGGAGGTTTCCACCACAAGTCCACCACAGATTGTACACCAGCTGGAAAGAGGGCGGGCAGGGTCTGGTGAGTGTCAAAGCCACTGTCCTGAGCATCCTGGAGAACATCAGTAAGATGGCACCCAAAGCTGAGCTCCTGAGAGAATGCCTGAGGCAGCAGCAAACATGGGAGGAAGTTCAAGCAGAGGAAGTGCCATGACAAGACAAGCCCCTGCATGGGATGTACCATTGACAGATAGCTGGGGTGGCTGGCATTGGGGAATCCTACCAGTGGCTGGAAAGGGCTGGACTAAAAGATAGCACTGAGGCGCTTGATCACAGCAGCACAAGAATAGGCACTAAGCACCAGATCCATAGAAGCAGGGTCTATCACACTAGACAGGACCCAAGGTACAGACTCTGCAGAGAGGCCTCGGAGACAGTCCAACACATAGTGGCAGGGTGTAAAATGCAGGCAGGAACAGCATACACTGAATGGTATAACCAAGTAGCTGTTATTGTGTACAGGAACATCTGCACAGTGTGTAGGCTAGACCCTCCCAGGTCCAGATGGGGGATTCCACAGAAGGTCATGGAGAATAACAGGGCCAAGATCCTGTGGGATTTCCAGATCCAGACGGACAGGAAAGTACTGGCCAGTCAACCAGACATCATGGTAGAAAAGGACCAGAATGCAGTGGTGGTGATAGATGTATCAGTGCCAAGTGACAGCAACATCAGGAAGAAGAAGTGTGAGACGCTGGAGAAGCACCAGGGCCTGAAGGAGGAACTAGAGAGGATGTGGAAAGTGAAGGCCAAAGTGGTCCCAGTGGTG